GTGCTACAGAGCCCGAGAGTTGGCGGGTCACTGAGATAAACGCTCCTGTTTCGGGCTCCATTTCTAAAAAGCTGCCTCTAACTCACTGCAAAGAGCTTTCTAACTATGAGAAAAAATAGAAGACTCAATAAAAGGTGGGAACCAGGAACTAGTAGCTTGAAAGTACCTAAAAGGTTGAGTGTCCCAGCAGAGGCCATTATTTTATCTTTTTTTGAGGCAGGGTCTGTTTCTGCTGCTCACGCTGGAGTGCCGTAGGCTGATCATAGCTCGCGGCAGCCTCGAACTCCTGGCCTCAGCGATCCTCCCGCCTCAGCCTCCCAAAGTGCTGGGATTACAGTCAAGAGCCACCATGCCTGGACATGACAAGATTATTTTAAAAAGTACTTGCCCTAAAACCTAGTCAGTAAGGCAGATAAATCACACAGCACAGTGCCAGTCACTAGAGGCTTAAGGTGAATTGCAAGCTGGACTCTAAGACAGCAGAGAGTCCACCGGGCTGTTTAGTAATGAGGAGGTGCTGACAGGAAGAGAAAAGGACCAGTGGTCGAATCAGCCCACAGCTAGGAGAGCATATCCTGGAGCTGCCAGCGGAGTGCTGGTTTGGGAGGATGGATCTTCAAGTGAGGTTCCTGGAGAGGGCTTTGCAGGGTCCACCCCAGGCAAGTTCCAGAAACTAGACGCCCATTTCTTTTGTTTCACGACTTAGGGTCCCATCATAAACTCTAGACGAGTTTGCTAAGTTGAAACACCCGCTGCCCTCAAGGACAGACTGAACTAAGTATAGTTAGTAACCACTGGCTAGGTTACCTTTCTTCCTGGCTGACTGGAGTCTCTTCTCAGTCACCCACAAGTTACCTCCAACAGAGCTGTTTCTATTCTCTGTGTTCTAGTGAAAGCAAGGAAAATCAACCCTTACCTGAGTAACTTGATAATCAAGTTCCCTGAGCCAGGATGCTATGCAGTAGCTCATAATTGCAATCCCAGAACTTCAGGAGGCTGAGGAAGGCGGATTGCTTTATTTTTCACTCAGTCTTACTCTGTCACTTTGGCTAGACTGCAGTGGCACCATTATATGGCAAACACCTGGGCTCAAACAAGCCTCTTGCCTCAGCCTCTGGAGTAGCTGGGACTACAGGCAGCTGCTGCCAGGCCCAGCCGTTTTTTTTCTATTTTTATTAGAAATGGCAGTCTCACTCTTCATCAGACTGGTCCCAAACTCCAGACCTCAAGCAGCCTTCCCACCTCAGCCTACTAGGGTGCCCGACATGATCAGGCTTTTAATATGGTTTGTAAACTATCTTTCTACGTCAGCCTGCCAGTAGTCTGTCATGTAACTTTTTGTAACGGCGTGGCTCACCATTTGCCCATTGGACTTAAAAGGCAGAAATGTTTGAGTCCATGAAGATCTGAAATCCAAATAAAACCTATTTGCTATGTAAT